CTCCCTATCCCCCTCCTCCCTTGTTCCCCTCCTCCCTCCTCCCCTGGGCCCGGGACGCTGGGGACCGGGCGGGGCTGTGGCTGTGACTCTGGAGGGAAACACCAGGCTGATCCTGGGTAATCCCCATTTCTCCTCAACAAGGAGGAGGCGCGGGGTGGGGTGCTCGCACCTGTAATCCCCGCGCTGGGGAAGCGGAGGCCGGACCACAAACGCATGCCTGGAGCCCTGGGTTCGATTCCTCAGCACCACATACACAGGGCAAGTGGCGCTGTGGCTCCAGCGATAGAGCGCTAGCTAGCCTTGAGCAAAAAGCTCAGGGACGGCGCCCAGCCCGAGTTCAAGCCCCAATGCTGGAAGAAAAACAACCCAGGGTGGCTCACACCTGTAATCCCAGCTACTCAGGAGGCTGAGATCTGAGGATCAGGGTTCCAAGTCAGTCCAGGCAAAAAAATCCATGTCTGAGGCTGGGAAGGTGGCTCAGTGGTAGAGCACTTGCCTTGCATGCATGAGACCCTGGGTTCGATTCCTCAGCACCACATAAGCAAAAAGAAAAAATCCAGAAGTGGTGCTGTGGCTCAAGTGGTAGAGCGCTAGTCTTGAGCTGAAGAGCTGAGGGACAGCGCCCAGGCCCAGATTTCAGGCTCCACAGCCAGACCCAAAAAAACAAAAACAAAGAAAATCCATGTCTCTTCCACTAACCAGCATCTAGTGAACTGGAGCTGTGGCTCAAGTGGTAGAGCAGCGCTGGCCTTGGGCAAAAAAAAAAAAAGCTCCAGCACAGCTCCCAGGCCCTGAGTTAAGTCTCAAGACCAGCACAAACAAAAGCCTCCCAAACCAACCTAGGTGCCAGTGGCTCCCACTAGCTAGCTATTCAGGAGGCTGAGATTTTGAATCGCAGTTTGAATACAGCCCTGGGAAGGAAGGTACTTCAGACACTGATCTCCAATTAACCACGCACACAGCTGTAGGTGGAAGAATGGCTTAAGTACTAAAATACCAAACTTGAGCAAAAAAAAAGCTCAGGGGCAGCTGTACCCAGGCCCTGAGTTCAAACTCCAGGCCTGCCACACATAAATAAGTCTGATTTCAATCGGTGTGTAGAAAAGTCCAAGTACTTTATTTTATTTTTGTCGTGGGGCTTGAACTCTGGGCTTGGGCGCTGTCCCTCAGCTCTTCACCTCAAGGCTGACACTCTACCACTTGAGCCACAGCGCCACTTCTGGTTTTATGGTGGTTAATTGGAGATCAGAATCTCATGGACTTTCCTGCCTGGGCTGGCTTTGAACCACAATCCTCACATCTCAGCCTCCTGAGTAGCTAGGATTACAGGGGTGAGCCACGGGTGCCCAGCTTCTAGTACCTTTTGGTGTGGCTGCTCTATGCTACCCCTCCAGAAAATCAGGCTCCAATTCTGGAATTACACCTTGTTTTGAACAAAGAACCCAAGACCTGGCTCCCTGGGTTGGTCAGCTCGCTCCACTCCACAAGACTTTTAGCTGCTTCTCAAACTAAGTTCACTCTCATTGGACGAGAGGCTGCGTGCCCGCAGACACCAGGCCCTGGGTCCAACGCTCTCAACCCGCCTTGAGTCCACTCACTCAGCCAAGTTGGATCTGAACCCACAGCGGCCTCCACGGGGCTTCCTGTCCCCACCCTGGCTACACATTGCTTTCACCTCGGGTGTCAGGAGGCTCCTGGGTGACCCTGGTCTGAGGAGCCAGTGAGGGGTTCACAGGACTCTGGTGGGCGGGACCCTGCTGGGAGGCTCTGAAGACTGGCCTGGCTGGTCTGCTGTGTGCTGTGCTAGCTGGGATTCGGGTGGGGTGGGGCACTCCTGGGGCTTGAACTCAGGGCCTGAGAGCTGTCCCCGAGCCTTTCTTGCTCAAGGCTACACTTGAGGCACAACTTCATTCCCCGCTTTTTGCTGGGCTAGAGCTATGCGCCTCTTGGAAGCGGCACTGTGGCTCAAGTGGTAGAGTACTACCAAGATGTGAGTCCCATAAACCTTTCTGCCCTGGCAGGCTTTGAACCTAGATTCTTAGATCTTAGCCATCTGAATAGCTAGGATTACAGGCGTGAACCTTCCCCCAGCTCTGGTTGCTTTAATTATTGTTGGGATAGTCTCGTATTTGTGTGGAGATCCAGCTGTTTATGCTTCCTTTGTGTCTGGGATTACAGGCATGAGCTACTTCCTCACCCAGTTTTTTCACCCACTTTCAAAGGCTTCTGAGCACACGTCATTGGCATGAAATGTCATCCCAAAGGTCCTGGCTTAGGGGTCCAGGCCTGTAACCTAACTACACAGGAGGCAGAGGGGGGAGATCCACCTTGGCTGTGTGACTTAGTGCCAATCACTCAATGTCTCTGAGCCCCCAGTGTCTCATCTGCCTGCATCATCTATAGGGAGGGGCTTTTAGGGCTGAGCCGGGACCTCCCCCAATCCCCACCCCTTACTGGATGCTGGCAGGGGGTCCAGGCTGTGAGAGCTGCCCAGGGAGACAGAGCAATACCCACTGCCCAGCATCTCTACCATGTGGCTGGACCAGGCCTTGTGCGGGGGATGGTGGCTCTGGACTCACCTGGCCCAGGCTGGAGATGGGGGTGGGAGAGGCTGCGATACTCAGAGTCACCACCAGGTGGCAGCACAAGTCCATCCCTCCCTCTGGCCCTCCTGGGGAAGGGGGGCATGTTAGGATGCTGAGGGGCTGGAGGCCCTGACACCTAAGAAAGGAGCCTGTGAGTTTGGGTTCCCTGACCGCTGGGGTAGCAGAAGGGCACCAGGTCCCACCAGCCCTCACCTCACCTGCCAGGTGACAAATGTCATCTGGGGATTTTATTTTTTGTTGGTCATGGGCTTGAACTCCGGGCCTGGGCGCTGTCCCTCAGCTCTTCAGCTCAAGGCTAGCGCTCTACCACTTGAGCCACAGCGCCACTTCTGGTTTTCTAGTGTTTTTTTATTGGCGATAAGAGTCTGGGGGGAGGGAGGGGCTGGGAAGGTGGCTCAGTGGTAGAGCGCTTGCCTTGCATGCATGAGGCCCTGGGTTCGATTCCTCAGCACCACATAAGCAGAAAAAGAAAAAAGCCGAAAGTGGCGCTGTGGCTCAAGTGGTAGAGTGCTAGCCTTGAGCTGAAGAGCTGAGGGACAGCGCCCAGGCCCAGAGTTCAGGCCCCACGACCGGACCAAAAACAAAAAACAAACAAACAAACAAAAGTCACATTCCTAAGGACCTGGAGCTGGATTCAAATTTCTCAGAAAGCTGGTCCTGGGTGTGTATGTGCTTAATACCCTCCCACCCCCCACTTCTGTTTCCAGAGAGGACCGGGGACCTGCCCAAGGCCACACACCTCCGGATCCACACACCTCCAGAGCCAGGCCACTCCCTGCCTCGGACCTCACAGCCGCATGGTGCAGGTCACAGCCACAGCACCCACAGCGGGGCGGTGATGGTGAACCGACAAATGGCAGGATGCTAGGGGCCTGTGGCTCATGCTTGTAATACCAGCAGAAAAGTCCATGAGATTAACCAGCAAAAAGCAGGGCTGGGGGCATGGCTCAAGTAGTAGAACATCAGCCATGAACAAGAAAGCTGAGTAAGAAGTACTAGGTTTAAACTCTGATACCAACAAAAGAGTAATAATAATAACAATAATAATAATAATAAAGAATATATGTGATAGCCAGGTGCCAGTGGCTCAATACCTGTCATCCTAGCCATTCAGGGGTCTGAGATCTGAGGATTGCAGTTTGAAGCCAGCCTGGGCAGGAAAGACTGAGACATCCAAAAGCTGAAAGTACAGCTGTGGCTCAAGTGTTAAAGGGTAGATACCAGCCTTGAGAAAAAGCTAAAGGGCAGCAGCGCACAGTCCCTGAGTTCAGGCCCCAGCCCACACACACACAGAGGAATCTCTGTTTTTGACAATCAGCGGCAGGGTTAGAAAGCAGCGGCTGAGAGCAAAGGCTCCCATGTTAAGGAGTCATTCTGTGCACTGTGAACATCAGCAGGACTTGTGGGTGCAGCAGGCGGCCTGGCTGGCCCTCAGCCTCCACAGCCCATGGAGAATGACAGCCCAGTCTGACTTAGCCAAGGCCAAGCCCAACCCTGCCCGGGTTATAGGAAGTCTCGATGACACACAGCCCCCGCCTGCGGGTATTAAGGAAACATATCTCAGTTGTCCTTGAGTGACTGAGCACTCTCCGCGTCCAGACTCCAGCCAAAGCTTGAGGTGTTAGGACCCCAGGCCCCTGCCCACCCCTCAGGGCAGACTTTGTTTTCTTTGGGTTTTGCATCAACAAACCTGCTCTTGCTGCTCTCCCCTCTCCCGGCCTGGCGTGCTTTCCCCAGCCAAGTCAGGATCTTTCAGATTCCTGAATCTGGAGACTTGACTTCAGTTAAAAGAATGGCTAGGTTTACTACTGAAAGAGAATATGGCTCTGCCTCAGTTCCCCCAGTTTAGCATAACTTCTAAGTACTTTTTTTATTTTAATTTTTTTTTTCAATTGTGGGGCTTGACCTCTGGACCTGGGCGCTGTCCCTCAGCAATTCTGCTCAAGGCAAGCGCTCTACCACTTAGGCCACAGCGCCACTTCCGGTTTTCTGAGTGGTTCATTGGAGATAAGAGTCTCACAGACTTCCCTGCTCAGCCTGGCTTTGAACTGCGATCTTCAGATCGCAGCACCCAACTACTTTTTTGTGTGTATTCCAGTAGCAGAACTTGAACTCAGGGCCTCATTTTTTTTCTTTCCTCACAGCTAGTGCTCTACCATGTTTCAGTTAAACATTTTGCCAGTTCATTGGAGATAAGGGTCTCTTGAACTTTTCTGCCCAGGCTGACTTTGAACTACAGTCCTCAGCTCTCAGCCTCTAGAGTAGCTGGAATGACAGGTGAGAACCATCCGTACCCATCTTAACTGATTAAAAAAAAAAAAAAAAAAAAGGTAGGGCTGGGAAGGTGGCTCAGTGGTAGAGCGCTTGCCTTGCATGCATGAGGCCCTGGGTTCGATTCCTCAGCACCACATAAGCAGAAAAAGAAAAAAGCCGAAAGTGGCGCTGTGGCTCAAGTGGTAGAGCGCTAGCCTTGAGCTGAAGAGCTGAGGGACAGCGCCCAGGCCCAGAGTTCAGGCCCCACGACCGGAAAAAAAAAAAAAGGTAGGGCTGGGAAGGTGGCTCAGTGGTAGAGCGCTTGCCTTGCATACCTGAGGCCCTGGGTTTGATTCCTCAGCACCACATAAGCAAAAAGAAAAAAGCCGGAGGTGGTGCTGTGACTCAAGTGGTAGAGCGCTAGCCTTAGGCTGAAGAGCTGAGGGACAGCGCCCAGGCCCAGAGTTCAGGCCCCACAACCGGACCCAAAAAAAAGTATCTTCAGGCTCCCCAGTTGTATTTCTCGAATCAAATAGCATTCTGAGACTGCATCACGTGGCACTTGGCCTCCACCCCTCAAAATGAAGTCTAGAGCACCTGAGTCTTTTGGCTCGTGGACAGCCTGGCCACCCACGGCCACCGCCACACCCTCCCCCATCACCTGAAACTGCTCCACCTTGGCGGTGACTGTGCCCCCCACCCCCTCCCACTGGCTGCACCCACACCTCGCCCGTGACCTCCTTGGGACTTCCTGCCGCCCATCCCAGCCCTTTGACGAAGCACCTGTTCCTTTCCTCTGGGAAAATTCATTCCTGCCCCCACGCCCCCACCCCGGCAGGGATAATACAACTGAGCTACAGCAGACTCCACCTCCATACTCTCCACTGCACCCAACTGCTCAGTCACCATAGTTTAAGTCCCTGGCTACAAGTCGTTGTCAGGGATGGGGTGGGGTGGGGGAGGGGGGCTCTGTCAGCGCATGCCTGTGCCAGTTCTGGGGCTTGAACTCGGTCTGCGCCCTGTCTCTGAGCTTTTTTGCTCAAGGCTAGCACTCTACCATTTGAGCCACAGCGCCACTTCCAGCCTTTTCTATTTATGTGGTACTGAGGAATTAAACCCAGGGCTTCCATGCATGCTAGGCAAGCACTCTACTACTAAGCCACCTTCCCAGCTGTGTAATTATTATTTTTATTTTATTTATTTTGTCGGTTGTGGGGCTTGAACTCTGGGCTTAGGCGCTGTCCCTCAGCTCTTCAGCCCAAGGCTAGCGCTCTACCACTTGAGCCACAGCGCCCCCTCCCGGCTTTTTCTGTGTATGTGGTGCTGAGGAATCAAGCCCAGGGCCTCATGCATGCTAGGCA